CCCCCCCCTTCTCCAGAGACGCTGATAAATTTCTATTAATATTAATAAAAATACAAAGATATAAAAATATCATCTTCTTGCTCCTTTCCACGAACGATTCTTCCGCATGCATTTCTTCACAGAACAGAGTTTTTTTAGGTAAATTATTATTATTATTATTATTATATCTGTTTCGAAGATTCAAGAGAAATCAATTTGACTCCCATTTAGAGCTTCGCCCTTTTCTTTGAATCTCGTTTTCGTTGGAATTGTGTCGTGACGCAGTATAATGTATTTTAAATAACGAAGCTTATCGAAGCTTAGAGAAATTGTGAAATTGAATTTTATGTAAAAAAAAAAGTGTAAATGAAAACTTTTTTCACTTGGAATTTCCGTTTTTTTTTTTATCTATCATTCTTTACGAATTAACGTTTTAAGGTAAGATTTCATGGCCTCGAGACATGTTTAATTTTTGTTTAACTATGATCGTCTGAATCTACTCGTTCGATTAAAACTATCCTATCCTACTCTACTCAATGATTCTGTCTTCTTCTGCCTTTTAAATCACGAGTCCGATATATCTTATATTTCTACTACTTTAATCATTATTATTATATCAGTTTTGAAAATATAAGAGAAATTAATTTAGCTCCTCCTTCTCCCTCCTCTAGATATTACGTATCATATCTTGAATATATCCCCCAACATTCTTGAATATATCCCCAACTCCCCCTTAAAGTTAACGAAACTTATCGAAGCTTATGAAGTGAAAAGGAAAAGATTTTATGTGACAGAATGAAAACTTTTTTCACTTGGAATTTCTGCACTATCAATTTTACCCTTAACCATGATCGTCTGAATCTACTCGTTCGATTCATAAAACTATCCTACTCTATTTCTTTTCACTTGGAATTTCTATACTATCAATTTTACCCTTAACCATGATCGTCTGAATCTACTCATTCGATTAAAACTATCCTACTCTATTTCTTTTCACTTGGAATTTCTGTACTATCAATTTTACCCTTAACCATGATCGTCTGAATCTACTCACTCGAAAACTATCCTACTCTATTTCTGTATTATGAATTTTACCCTTAACCATGATCGTCTGAACCTACTCACTCGATTAAAACTATCCTACTCTATTTCTTTTCACTTGGAATTTCTGTACTATGAATTTTACCCTTAACCATGATCGTCTGAATCTCCTCACTCGAAAACTATCCTACTCTATTTCTGTACTATCAATTTTACCCTTCACCATGATCGTCTGAACCTACTCACTCGAAAACTATCCTACTCTATTTCTGTACTATCAATTTTACCCTTAACCATAATCGTCTGAATCTACTTATTCGATTCATAAAACTATCCTATCCTACTCTATATTCTATGATTCTGTCTTCTTCTGCCTGTTAAATCACGAGCATCTGATTAATCCGACATACATCTTATATTTCTGCTACTTTCATTACTATTGCATTGTATCTGTTTCGAAGAGTATGGGAAAGTCGTTGACGTTCCGCGGCGCGGTGTACGAGGCGCAGGATATCCTGAGGTACCACAGATGCAGGGATCCGATATGCGACACGCACTTGTGGAAGGTGAAGCACGAATTGGACATGGCCAGGATCAGGATACGGCAATTGGAGAAGGATCTTGAGGCTCACGGGATAAAACCTCCCCAGGCCAAGTAAGCTTCTAGATTCTCGGCTTCGTTTAACGTGCGTGTGTGAAAAAGTATAGCCGTGTAATGATACTCTCGACTCTTGCTCGTGCTCGAGAGGATCGAAAAAATTGATTAACTTGTGATCTCGATCATTGTTTCTCATCCGTTTCACCATGAAACAATTTAACACTTTGACTGCCTCGTCACCCATATTTGGATTATTTGAAGGATTTTCGTAGGTATTTGGAAAGATATACCGTAATAAAATTATTAAATTGTTATGAAAATAATAAAAAAATTATTTTGAATGGAAAATTTTAAAACATTATATACAAAGCTGAAGTTGATCTGGATAATTTGGACTTAAAGAAGTTGTTGTCTTTTTTAAATTTCTTTGATCGATCCATTTTATAGAATATCGTCGTCTTTTATAGAATATAATTTGCATGCAGTCTAATACTTATACCAGAATTATTTTTCCAAACGGTGATATTATGTTGACTCTGTTGAAGGTTTTATTGTATTTTCGGATAATCCTAATAATTTTGCAGCTAATAATTCTCTAAATCTTCTAATCTTTTGGGATATCACGAGTCTCATGGTAATACGACGATTAGATAGTTTATGAACATGTGCTCTGACACGATTACTGTGACATTGTGAGAGACCCTGGTCTCCAATAGACAACGAATAATTTATATACAACTAACAAGTATATTTGTTACGATTAATCGAAGGGCACAGTCATATTACCCAAATTATCCAAATTAAAATATCCAAAATATACTAAATCAGTACTATTATTCAATACAATTGCTATCATCAATACTAACGATGCGAGACATCGATCTTGCGACCATCAGCATCGCATTATAAAATATAAAATATATATATAAATATAAATAAACAATAATATAAATAAATATAAAATACAGAGAACTACACTTGATGAAGATTCCGTTAGAAATACGGCAGTCAACGCGTCAAACGAGTTAAGAGAAACGACGTATGATAATATAATAACCCTATTCCGAGAGAAATCGTGGAGAAACGGTTCGAGATCCGCTCGATGATCGAGGAGAGGCGAGATCGAAGCGGAGAGGAGAGAAGACGAAAAGAAGACGAAACTATTCGCTTCTCCTTCGAAGTGCCATCTTCGATGCTTTCGAATTGCAACAACGCGCTGTCGTACTTCATCCAAGCTTTCCATATTTATATAAAAATGGAACTTCTTTCTAAAGCTTTCCTTTCGAAATGATCGGCGCTTCTTCTCTGCTCGTACGCGTTTCACAAAAGCGGAAGTGGGCCCGTAAACGGCAGATCTACGCATGTCTACTGCATAATTATTTCTCACCTGTCCTCCATTAACCAAGGATTCGAACTCGATTCGCGTGAACGAACAATTTGTTCGAAAGATGAGAAAATTAAAGATATCGAGAAAAGGGTGATTTTTTTAGAAATAGCAATTAACACGTTTCTTTATACGTGGAATAATGTTCTCTAAAATTCTGAGATATTCGATTTTAACAATACATGGTTGTTAACGATTAATTAAATTAATGTTGCTTTCAAACACTTGCAAATCGAGATTAAATCCTGAATTATATTACGTTATATTTTCTGACGTCACTTGGAGTCTGGCTCGCACAGCATGCACTTATCTACGAACGTATATATATATATACACGTATATTAAATTCGTATATATGCAGTCTCTAAAATGTATATATATAATATTCACGTGTATGCATTCAAAATATACGTGTATGGAAACATTACGAGTAGGGATGGGATCGAATGTAAATTAAAAAGTACAAGTTCGAATTAAGTTGGAAAAATTTTTTCTGAAAATGTTATTCTCTCTCTCGGTAGAAGAAGTATACGGATAATTGGAGATGAAAATTGCAAAAGCTATTCGTTCGAAATATTCGAAATAATCATCGCAACATTCCTCAGTTATAAATATTAAAAATTCATTTCGATATTAATTTTTTTTCTTTCGAGAAAGGAATATTCTTTTTTGAACATATGAAATTTAATTTGATAAAGCGATCCACTTCCCTAATCGTGATATCGGCACGAGAGTACCATTCGTTTCTGGTTCCTATTTTATTTATCTGCGCCATTCTCTCGATTGTTCCCCCGTTGATCGTAAGTTTGAGACATCCACAGTTTGACAAATTGAAAATAGATTGCATTTATGAAGGATCGACTTTAGAGAGGAAGAAGAACTCGTAGAGGCATTTGTCGTGTTGACGAATATTATTGACTCGTGCCACTAGAATAGCCCCACATTGAATGAAATTGATAGAATTCTTATATTTTAGTTCCATTGAAATTAGATTTTATGGTAGACAGTTTATTTTGACAGTTTCGAGTTATATTGTATCTATTCGATATATACATTATTAGTATATTTTATTTTTGTAAAATTTATAGTTATTTGCATGGATATTTAGTTTAGCCACCTCACTATCTTGAATTTGATATATATATATGCAAAAATCGTAGAAAGAATCATTTTTACGAACGTTGAAATTTCATTTCGATTTATTCTTTTCCTCATCGATAAAAGAAAATTTCAAATATTATAATTTTGTATCAAAATCGTAAAAAAAGAATAATTTCATTTCGACTTATTCTTTCCCTCATCGACAAAAATTTCAAATATTATCAGAATTTGGTAAAAATACACGCATAAGATAATTATATGCGAAAATCGTAGAAAGAATAATTTTTACGAACTTTTTTGAAACTTCATTTCAATTTATTCTCATCAAAAAGAAAATTTCAAATATGCGTCAAATATTATAAAATCGTAGGAAGAATAATTTTTACTAACGTTGAAATTTCATTTCGATTTATTCTTTCCTTCATCGACAAAAACTTCAAATATTATCAGAATTTGATAAAGATACACGCATAAGATAATTATACGCGAAAATCGTAGAAAGAAAATTTTCGAAACTTTATTTCAATTTATTCTTTCCCTCATCAAAAAGAAATTTTCAAATATCATGCATCAAATATTATAAAATCGTAGAAAGAATAATTTTTACGAACGTTGAAATTTCATTTCGATTTATTCTTTCCTTCATCGACAAAAACTTCAAATATTATCAGAATTTGATAAAGATACACGCATAAGATAATTATACGCGAAAATCGTAGAAAGAAAATTTTCGAAACTTTATTTCAATTTATTCTTTCCCTCATCAAAAAGAAAATTTCAAATATCATGCATCAAATATTATAAAATCGTAGAAAGAATAATTTTTACGAACATTGAAATTTCATTTCGATTTATTCTTTCCTTCACCGATAAAAATTTCAAATATTATCAGAATTTGATAAAGATACACGCATAAGATAATTATACGCGAAAATCGTAGAAAGAAAATTTTCGAAACTTCATTTCACTTTATTCTTTCCCTCATCAAAAAGAAAATTTCAAATATCATGCATCAAATATTATAAAATCGTAGAAAGAATAATTTTTACCAACTTTTTTGAAATTACATTTCGACTTATTCTCTCCGTCATCGGCAAAAATACGCAAATATTATCGTAATATTGTAAAGATTAGACCTGACAGAAAAATCTCCGCTTCCAAAAAAATAAAGTTTTCGAAGCATAAACTCCAGCACCATAACGAGATCCATCGAAAATAAGCAATCGTCTCAAACTCACGATCAACGACGTATTTTTCACCGCATCAAGTTACGAGACTGTCACGCATCGGCTTCAAATTTTGTTGTTAACAAATTTACCAGTTGGAGAGAAGGAAAAATTGGGCAGGGAGAAACGCAGAAGGGGATGGCGAACGCGCGTACTTTATTAAGCAGAACTTCTCAACGACACGAGATCTTGGAAGGAATTTTTCGGTGGGTGGAGAGGAAAACTTTTCCAGCTCGAAATAGGGGAGCGTTATCTCGAAGATCGATCGTCGAATCTTCTTCGTTCTTCGATCGAAACTTTGATGCAACTCGGTGATGCGCTCGAAGAATTTTCCAATTTTTGTTTCCAATTTTTGTTCCCTTTCGAGAGGATTGCTCGACGAAAACGGTGAATTGTAAAAAGGAGAAATAGAAACGAGAATTCTTCGATCAAAGTTATTCGAATTTTGAATCGAGATGAAACGAAATTTGCATCGAGTTTCCTTCGAATTTTAACGCGTTCGAAATTTTAAAAAGAATGATATCGAAGAAAAATTTTTTGGGATATTTCCGATAGGAAATTCGTTAACGTTCGAAATTTTGTTTGGGAAGAAGTTGGAGCGTGAAATTTCAGTTACATCACGAACGACCCTAATTCGCTTACGAAAACTTAAGATCGAATATTTTAAACCCAATTTGAGCCCGGACCAAATTTGAATCTTTAACTTCGAAGAAACAAAGCGGCAAACATATTCAAAAATTGAAATTCAAAATTAATATCGAATATAACTTTTCCATTTACGAATATTTCGATTGAAAATAAAATATCGGTCGAAATCCTTCCAAACATGATGATGAGAAGGGAGAAGAATCCTCTTCCCGTATAAAATCAAACAGAATTCGATCAGACAACGTAAGAAACAACGATTCTGTACTTTTATCAAAAGCTTCTTTCCTTCCGCGCAGATTTTCCAAATAATCTCCCTCGTGGAGCGTTCGACTTTCTCTCTACAAAAATTGCCACTAAAATTGATTTATCCAAAAAAAAAAGAAACAATTTCTTATAACCAATGAAATAAGCAACAAAAATCCAATATAAAAACCCTTGAGCGTTCCAAATTCTCTTCGATAAAAACTGAGCGTTTTATTCCTCGAACCGCGAGAAAAGAAAAGATATTTCTCGAACGAAGAGGGATTATTAAGAAGGAGAAGAGCGGTATAAAAGGAAGGCATAAACGAAAAAAAAGATCTCGTCTCTGTTGAGACGTGTTGCTGTGGTTTAACGTATTGAAGCGACGGTGGTTGTTGATGGACGATGAGGCGGAGGAGAAGGGTTGGCACATATCCACGTGGGCTTTTTTAAAGGAGGAAAACCGGAAGTCTCGGCTGGTGGCGAGGATGCTTTCAAAGCCACTCGGACCGCCACTCGCAACCGGAATCATTGGCGGTGGAGGCTCCGCATCCGCTACCGCCATACTTCGATTCGTAAGTCCGCAACGCCCACACAACCAACAACAACAACAACAACAAGTAAGAGAACTCTCCCCGGCGACGTAGGAACCCTGCCCCCCTCTCTCCCTCCTCGATGTGTCGTCGAATGGTAACCGCGTCGAATCCCCCCCCCTCATTTCTCCCTCCACCCTCCTCTCTCTCATCCCTTATAAAATCCTTGGAACCCGACTTAACGCCTCCTTTTCGTCCCCATTCTCTGTGCGTATCGAATAAAATTGTATTTCCTCCCCCTCCATCCATCCTTATCCCTTATATCCAAATCTTTGGATCCCGACTCAACGTCCTCCACTTTTTTTCCTTCGAATAAAATTCTACGTATTTCGTGAGCGTGCTTTTTCCTTTTTCTCTCTCTCTCTTTTTTATATATATATATATAAATCATTATTCGTCCCGATATACGTTTCGTCCTTGGGATAATATTCCAAAAGAATTATATGAATTTATATATATATATTTATATATAGCTGATCTCAGCTCTTTGCTCGACGATGTTGGTTCGCGAGATTTATTTACTGGGTCACGGATAGGTTGGAATTTGGCACGGGAACTAGGGAGGGAGGGGTTCGAATCAGCTGCCAAATATCGGGAAAATATTCGCGCTTGTTTGTTCGCCAGCTGGTGTCGAGGCGTTCGCCATTTAAAAAGCCGAACCGAGGGTTACATCTTCTTCTCGAGAAGGAGAGAGAGAGAGAGAGAGAGAGATGGCAGCACAAAATGGCGACATCTGGCGCATACGTTTAAGGGAAACGACGTTTTGGATCACACGGAGACCACTTCGTCGACACATCCCAAAATTCCATCATCCTCCAGAAGAAAGTTTGTTCTCGGGTGACGAGAACAAACCTCGTTCCTACCTTCGACAGTTTCGACAGCTGATCGTAATCTTGAACAGTACTCGTATTTCCATATCTCTTTGTTTCGATTTCCTTTTTTTCTTTTTTTTTTTTTTTTTGGAAAAAAAAAGGTTCCTACGTCGCTTCGACGCAAACTGTCCTCGGAATGCACGTGAAAAAAATCGAGTTAGAAAGGCGATCGTTTTCGTTAAATGTGACAGAAACGAGATCGATAAATCCGTGCACCGTTGACAGAGAGGAGGGTGTATCGACCTCGCAAAGCTCGTTAAATCTCTATCCGTTTAACGAGTTATATTTTATATCCCTATGGATAAAGAAACTATCTTACGTTTCTTGATAAATTATTTATTCTATCAAACGGATTAGATTAAAATTTTTTACAGTTTCAAATCGAGTGTAAATTAAATCCGTCTCTTACGTTTCTACTTATCGTCTCGATTCGATTGAAATAACATCTGGGGCGAAAGAGAAATAAAATAAAATAAAATAAAATGAAAGGGGAGGGGCTTTGCGAGGATCGATGACAAATGAAATAAAAGTTGAAAGGATAAGAGTGGTAGAAAGAGTAGTAGATTATCCGCTTATTCGCTTGGTAGTTTTTTAGAAACTTCTGCACATACATACGCATTCGAATTATATATCTATCTCTACTTATGCCTTATTTTTTTTTTCCAATTTTTTTTTTTTTCTTCTCCACCTAATCCATCCATCTGTCTATCTGTCTATACACTTTTTCACGAACTCGTAACTTTTCGTATCGTACCTATACCTACACCCCTCCCCCCTCCCCCCCAGTTTTCATGTGCTCGGAGGCATGGCATGCGAGTTGAACGAGACGAGTTTTCGGTAGATTCGTGGCGACTTGTGTATCGAGTTGTGGGACGATAAATTGTTCGCGACAGGTCGACGACAGACCGGTGCGCCATCTATCGCGGGATAAGGAAATTATATTGTGAATCAGGGAAAGCCAAGGAAAAGAAAATGTGCAGTCGTTTGTACGGAACGAGTCGATCAAATTTCGTGGAATCTGAGGTATACTTGTTTCGTGGCGATTTATTTACGAGGGCGAGAATGTTTGAGAATCGGAAAATTTTATATAAATTATTGTTATAAATATCTCTATTATAACGATTGATTTATATGCATAGATTCTAAATCTATGATCGAGTTTTTATATTACGATAAAATATATATACAATATAGAAAGTTTTATGGAATATTTATTTATTTTTTTTTTTTTTTGGAAATCAGCAAATTGAACTTTTATCCGAACTTTTCTAAAATTATTTTCCCCGATTATCGTAAAAATTGTTGAACTGAAAGTATACACACACACACATACATAAACGAATTTCGATACGGAGAAATCGAACGTAAATTCGTAATGGTCTTCGAAAGTCGGTGAAACTCGATGCTTCTATTCGATTCGTGAACTGTAACTATTCCCACGGTATAAACAATATTACATCACGTATTACAAACTGGATTACTCTCACCTTCCTATACACGGTTTACCATTCGATACACGTGTACGCGCGTAAAAGCACAAACGTCTAAATTATAACTTTGAGATATTGAAAATTTTCCTCGAGAGGATCAAAGTGGATGTAGATTGAAAAACGGTTGAATTTATCCTGTAAAAGATGTATACACGATATTTTGTATATCTTCAAAATGTATATATCGAGAATTTAATAAAGAAGAGATTTCAAATGAAAGATATCGAGAATAGAATCTCCTTAACTTTTAAGAAAAAAAAAAAAAAAAAAAAAGGGAGGGGAGAATTTAAACTTTTGGACCGGAAAAATTTTTTTTTTTTTAAAAAAAAAAAAAAAAAAAAGGGAGGGGAGAATTTAAACTTTTGGACCGGAAAAATTTTTTTTTTTTTAAAAAAAAAAAAAAAAAAAAGGGAGGGGAGAATTTAAACTTTTGGACCGGAAAAATTTTTTTTTTTTTAAAAAAAAAAAAAAAAAAAAGTGAAGGTAGAATTTAAACTTTCGGATCGAGAAAATATTTTTTTTTTATAAGTAACGACGATATCTCAGATTCCGAACGATTCATTCCGTACACGTTCCTTTATCTATACATATATGTATATGTATATAAAACTATATACGACGGATAATATAAACGAATGAAATTTTCTTCTCTGCAAATTGTCACACAGGGATTATCTTGAATCTAGATTCATCGACGCCATCGACGTAGCCAGACCCAGGGACATGACCAGGAACCATGTGGTCAGCACGGAATACGCCAGCAAATTTTTACCACCCGAGATCTACAGGTAAGGATAATACCTACCTTATCTAATCGCCATTACGTTCTCGTTCTTTTATCGCAATTTGAAGAATTTTTTCCCAATATATATTTTATTATATAATATATTATATGGATTCGATAAATTAATTCGATATCAATTAATTATTTTACCATAATAAAAGACCATAATAATATTTTACCATAATAAAATTTAATCATAATAAAAGATTACTCGTTTTAAATTTAAAAATTTCTTTATATCTCCTTTTTATCCTTTTTTAGTTTTCCAATCGAATCTCGCTCTAATCTTTCGCTTCTAACGCGCGTTCGAGTTTAATGCTTGCGCATATTTCGAAAACATTCCGCAACAAACAGAAATGTGTCAGCCGGGCGAAGAATGTTGTGCGCGGAATATTTACGTAGAGAACTTTCGATCGCGTCGTACCTTCCACAAAATTCCTCGCATTCTCGACTATCGAATACGAAATCCGCACGTCCACACGCTCCTTGCACAGCTATGTCATATATATATATCACGTCACGGAGCTTGAATTTCGCATTTCTTACGCGTACAGTCCTAATTTTCCAAATATTCCTCGTTCTTTGTTACTCTAAAAATAATTTGTCATTTCACTCTCTCTTAAAATTTAAATTACGATTTAGAAAAAAATAAAGTCAATTTGATTTCTTATATGTATCTTTGAATATTTTCAATTCGTTTCTGAGATGATTTTATGAACAAGTTCCTTCTTTATTATTCCCATTGTTTCTTAAAATTTAAATTACGATTTAGAAAAAAATAAAGTAGATCAATTTAATTTTTTATATGTATCTTTGAATATTTTCAATTGGATTTTACGAATAATTTTCTTCTTTATCATTTCCACTTTTTCTTAAAATTCAAATTACAATTTAGAAAAAAAAATAAACTCGATTAATTTGATTTCTTACATATCTTCGAATATTTTCAATTCATTTCCAAGATGATTTTATGAATCTTCTTGTTTTCTTCTTGTTCTTGTTTCTTCTTTATCATTTCCATTCTTTCTTAAAATTCAAATTACAATTTAGNAAAAAAAACAAAATAAACTCGATCAATTTGATTTCTTACATATATCTTCGAATATTTTCAATTCATTTCCAAAATAATTTTATGAATAAGTTTTTTCTTTATCATTCCTATTCTTTCTTAAAATTCAAATTACAATTTAGAAAAAAAAAAAACAAAATAAACTCGATCAATATGATTTCTTACATATATCTTCGAATATTTTCAATTCATTTCCAAAATAATTTTATGAATAAGTTTTTTCTTTATCATTCCTATTCTTTCTTAAAATTCAAATTACAATTTAGAAAAAAAAAAAACAAAATAAACTCGATCAATTTGATTTCTTACATATATCTTCGAATATTTTCAATTAGTTTTCGAGATGAAATTTGGATTTTATTAAATAATTCCTCCTTCATTCCTCCTTATCACCCCCCTTTCTTTCTTAAAATTCAAATTACAATTTAGAAAAAAAAATGAAATCAATTTGATTTCCAAAATAACTAATTAACACTTTATCCAAAATCAACCATTGACATATTAACCTTTCCAGATCGCTGGAAAAAAAAAAGAAACGGAATCCGCTCGAACTTATCCCCTCCCCCTGTCCCAACACGACTCAATACACGCCATAATCTTTTCGAATCTAACGATTATTGGAATCGATTGTTGGATACCAGGACCCCCGAGGACGGAACGGGCAGGACGGAAATCGCCGAAATGGAGACAGTTCTGTGATCGTAGAGAGCCGGCCACGATTGCCCAGCCACGTCAGCGCGATCATAAGCGTCCCCTGTGGAGCGGAAAAAGTCTCGCCTCCGCTTCCAATTTCTCGACAACGAGTTTTCGCCTCGTGTTGCCTCCTCGTCGCCGCCGTCGCCGCCGCCGTCGTCGTCGTCGAGGTCTCTCCATCCCTCGAAAAAACCCTCGAGAACTTCGAGGCTCGAAGGATCGAAGAGGGTGGGAATCAGTTTATTAGAGGGGGGGGGGGAGAAAAGGGAAAGAAAACGCTTCGAGTTGCACGAGAAGGAACGTTCAGTGCCTATGAAGAATCGAGAAACATCGAGATCCACGAGATCATTCTTCTCAAAATAAGAAAAAAGGGGAAAAAGAAAGTGAGAAGAGAAGAGAAAAGAGAGCGAAAATTTTCCACGACCACGTTTTTTCTTCCAAAAAAAAAAAAAAAAAAAAAAAACGTTTTTCTTCCTCAAGTTGTGCAGTGTGTTTCGCGTTGCGATCGTGTTATATAATCGAGGACGCTCGATTTGGGCGAGAATTGTTTTCTCAGTTTCTCGTGCTGAGACTATTTTTTTTTTTTTTTTCTTTTTTTTTTTGTTTCGTTGATTTTTTTTTTAAAGAAATTCGACGTTTTCAAAAGAACGATCCTTTCAGATCGAAATGTGTGTTTTCGCTGGGGAAAAGTGTCGCTTTAAAAGATCAATTGTATTTAACGTGAAGGAGGAAGGAGAAGTTAAGCGTTGTTTAGTCGTTTAGTTGTTTAAAAATGTTACAAATGTTAATCGCTTGATTACATCATATCATTTTCTTGTTCGATGTCAGTTTGGTGAAAATTTTTTTTTTCCTCGTAATTTTTCGGAATTCTTCCGCGAGATTAATTAATTTCGCACACGATATTGTTGCAATCTGTTCCTTTGATTTTTTCGACAAAATCGAATGACGCGTGGCTTGAAATCGCGATCTCGTCATTTTTTCTTTTTTTTTTTTTTTTTTTTTTTTTCTTTTTAAAAAATTCGCAACGAGGAGAAAAAAAAAAAGTAAGTAAAGAGACGTAACTTATATTCAGGCCGCATCAATGCAATAGATAGATAATTGAAAATTCCTAGATCTTTTGAGAAACTCGTTAAAAAAAAAAAAGAAAAAAAAAAAAACTTTGTACGAAACTTCGGGCCCCGATTTTTCAAAAAATAGGGAGTCAAAACTTCGAGCCAACGATAGTTCGTTAAAACGAACGTTTAAGGCGAGTAAAAAAAAAAAAAATAATAATAATAATAATAATAAAAGTAAACGCTACGAAAGAGAAACGAAAGAAAGAGATAATTGATGATATCGATGACAGCAAAAAAAAAAAAAAAGAAAGAAAAAGAAAAAGAAAAAATAAGATAAAATAGAAAATCCAAATCGACATCTTGATGGGAAAACGTCAATGTGTATTATACGGAGATATAACTATGGCATTCGAGTGTGTCATATATACATACATATATATATATATATATATATATTTAATACGTAATGTACACACGGAGCTACTATTACACGTTAAGTATGTATATTGTGGTAAAAAAGAAAAAAGAAAAAAAAAAAGAACAATGAAATATTCTAAAAAATGGAAACCTATTTCAAGGACGTAATATGCTCAACATTTAAAAGAAAAAGAAAAAAAAAGTACACGTAATAAAAATCCACCGAGCGTAATGATTATAATATAATAATAATCGTATCGAGAAGTGTCAGGGGGGATATGTCTCGCGCCAAATTTTTAATATGGAATGGGGGAGGAAAGAATTTAAAAGAAAGATCGATATATCATTTTGAATATCTCTTTCGATTAAAAATTGCGATGAAAAATTTTTCTTCTTTTCCTTTTTTTTTTTTTTTTTTTTTTTTTTTTCTAAATAATAAAAAGGGGAAAATATAATCAAGAGATCAATATAATTTTCACGACACTCTGAATTATCGTAACAAAAATTTCCACTTCGATGAAATTTTATAGAATAGAATTCAAAGAAAATTCTTAATCGTCGCTAACCCTTTTGACGCGTTATTATAAATTCGAAAAGTGAAATAAATAAGATGAAATGAAATTAGGAGAAAAAAGAGGAAGGGAAAATCGGAGTTAGAAAAATATTTTTTAACAACAAAATAAAGTAACGCAATGGTGCCTGAAACGAATGAATTTCAAGCGTTCGATCCCTTGAGGAGAAGGGGAGGGGAGGGTAATATTTTTTTAAGAACGATGGAAAAGTT